TCACTCTTACACACTCTCACTCTTCACACTCTCACTCTTCACACTCTCACTCTTCACACTCTCTTTCACACTCTCACTCTTCACACTCTCACTCTTACACTCTCACTCTTCACACTCTCACTCTTCACACTCTCACTCTTACACACTCTCACTCTTTCACACTCTCACTTTTTCCCACTCTCACTCCTTCACGCGCTCTCTTTCACACTCTCTTTCACACTCTCACTCTTTCACACTCTCACTCTTCACACTCTCACACTCTCACTCTTACACACTCTCACTCTTCACACTCTCACTCTTTCACACTCTCACTTTCACACTCTCTTCACACTCTCACTCTTCCACTCTCACTTACACACTCTCACTCTTTCACCTCTTTCACACTCTCACTCTTTCTCACTCTTACACACTCTCACTCTTACACACTCTCACTCTTACACACTCTCACTCTTTCACGCTCTCTTTCACACTCTCACTCTTCCACGCTCTCTTTCACACTCTCACTCTTTCACACTCTCACTCTTTCACGCTCTTTCACACTCTCACTCTTCCACGCTCTCTTTCACACTCTCACTCTTTCACGCTCTCTTTCACACTCTCACTCTTTCACGCTCTCTTTCACACTCTCACTCTTTCACACTCTCACTCTTACACACCCTCACTCTGTAACACTCTCACTCTGTAACACGCTCTCTTAAGCCTGGTTCACACGAGACGATTTTAAAATTGTCGACCGATTTTTTTCTCCGTGTGAGACCCCACACACGGAGATAAAAAATCACGATTCTAACCACTTTGGTCGTACAGTGTGTGGTGCGCAGCCACACGGCAGAATCACGCAAACCACACACGAACCGATTTCACCCCCGAGCATTCACAGGTCACCGGAAATCTCACAACATCGCTCGAGATCAAGCGTGACTTCAGAGTAAACAGAGTGTGCGGGCCTCTCCGCTTCACGCAGCCCATAGAGACTCTGGTCTGACCACAGCAGCCTATAGAGACTCTGGTCTGACCACAGCAGCCTATAGAGACTCTGGTCTGACCACAGCAGCCTATAGAGACTCTGGTCTGACCACAGCAGCCTATAGAGACTCTGGTCTGACCACAGCAGCCTATAGAGACTCTGGTCTGACCACAGCAGCCTATAGAGACTCTGGTCTGACCACAGCAGCCTATAGAGACTCTGGTCTGACCACAGCAGCCTATAGAGACTCTGGTCTGACCACAGCAGCCTATAGAGACTCTGGTCTGACCACAGCGGCCTATAGAGACTGGTCTGACCACAGCAGCCTATAGAGACTCTGGTCTGACCACAGCAGCCTATAGAGACTCTGGTCTGACCACAGCAGCCTATAGAGACTCTGGTCTGACCACAGCAGCCTATAGAGACTCTGGTCTGGACCACAGCAGCCTATAGAGACTCTGGTCTGACCACAGCAGCCTATAGAGACTCTGGTCTGACCACAGCAGCCTATAGAGACTCTGGTCTGACCACAGCAGCCTATAGAGACTCTGGTCTGACCACAGCAGAGACCTATATAGAGACTCTGGTCTGACCACAGCAGCCTATAGAGACTCTGGTCCGACCACAGGCGGCCTATAGAGACTCTGGTCTGACCACAGCAGCCTATAGAGACTCTGGTCTGACCACAGCAGCACCACAGACACCATGAGGACACACACATGTGGATTGTCTGACCACAGCTTACTGCTCTACAGTTCTCTGGCCGTTCTGTCTGTGCTGTTCAACAATACAGTTTGTACGGACGACCTGTGAACGCATCACACACTGTTAAGCCTAGCGTACATCGACAGAGAAACTGGGGACAACTAGTTGCAAGGCGGCTTTTGGCAACTGAGAGGAGATGATGGAGATGATCAGTTGAAATCGGTCGATGTGCGCGCTCTTACAACTGGAGATGATCAGTCGGTCTCCAGTTTCAGTCAGTTGCCCGTGTTCTACTTTTCGGCAACTAGTTGTCCTCAGTTTCGGAGATATGACCCGATGTGCGCGCTCCATGCGCCGCTCCGACAACGTGCGTGTATTGCGTGTATTGCGTGTATTGCGCGCCCTCTAAAGTTTATGTCAGAAAACACACTGTAGTTGAGGCCAGTTGCTGTCGATGTACGCGCTGTTATTCCCCAGACTGGTCTGCTACTGGGAGTTGTCCGTTTTCGTCAGATTGTCGATGTGTGCGGGGCAGCAACTCATATGCGACGGATATAATCAGTTGCCAGTCCGATGTACGCTAGGCTTAAGACATGAAACTTTACATACGCACAAACCAACAAGCACGGCTGCAGTAACGGCTGCATCAACACGTCTGTACTGTATTAGGACAGAGTGCAAAGTAAACGTACAAACACAACCATCAGTCTGATCAGTTAGTACTGATCCCGTCCGAACAGGGCTGATGCCAACACTACCTGTGCAGCAGCCATTTCTGTGATGATATTCTTTACACGACACGTCAGACATACAGTGCCTTGCGAAAGTATTCGGCCCCCTCGAACCTTTCAACATTTTGCCACATTTCAGGCTTCAAACATAAAGATATAAAATTTTAATTTTTTGTCATGAATCAACAACAAGTGGGACACAATCGTGAAGTGGAACAAAATTTATTGGATAATTTAAACTTTTTTAACAAATAAAAAACTGAAAAGTGGGGCATGCAATATTATTGGGCCCCTTTACTTTCAGTGCAGCAAACTCAGTCCAGAAGTTCAGTGAGGATCTTTGAATGATCCAATGTTGTCCTAAATGACTGATGATGATAAATAGAATGCACCTGTGTGTAATCAAGTCTCCGTATAAATGCACCTGCTCTTTGATAGTCTCAGGGTTCTGTTTAAAGCACAGAGAGAACCATGAAGACAAAGGAACACACCAGGCAGGTCCGAGATACTGTTGTGGAGAAGTTTAAAGCCGGATTTGGATACAAAAAGATTTCCCAAGCTTTAAACATCTCAAGGAGCACTGTGCAAGCAATTATATTGAAATGGAAGGAGTATCAGACCACTGCAAATCTACCAAGACCCGGCCGTCCCTCCAAACTTTCATCTCAAACAAGGAGAAGACTGATCAGAGATGCAGCCAAGAGGCCCATGATCACTCTGGATGAACTGCAGATAACTACAGCTGAGGTGGGAGAGTCTGTCCATAGGACGACAATCAGTCGTGCACTGCACAAATCTGGCCTTTATGGAAGAGTGGCAAGAAGGAAGCCATTTCTCAAAGATATCCATAAAAAGTCTGGTTTAAAGTTTGCCACAAGCCACCTGGGAGACACACCAAACATGTGGAAGAAGGTGCTCTGGTCAGATGAAACCAAAATCAAACTTTTTGGCCACAATGCAAAACGATATGTTTGGCGTAAAAGCAACACAGCTCATCACCCTGAACACACCATCCCCACCTCAGCTGTAGTTATCTGCAGTTCATCCAGAGTGATCATGGGCCTCTTGGCTGCATCTCTGATCAGTCTTCTCCTTGTTTGAGATGAAAGTTTGGAGGGACAGCCGGGTCTTGGTAGATTTGCAGTGGTCTGATACTCCTTCCATTTCAATATAATTGCTTGCACAGTGCTCCTTGAGATGTTTAAAGCTTGGGAAATCTTTTTGTATCCAAATCCGGCTTTAAACTTCTCCACAACAGTATCTCGGACCTGCCTGGTGTGTTCCTTTGTCTTCATGGTTCTCTCTGTGCTTTAAACAGAACCCTGAGACTATCAAAGAGCAGGTGCATTTATACAGAGACTTGATTACACACAGGTACATTCTATTTATCATCATCAGTCATTTAGGACAACATTGGATCATTCAAAGATCCTCACTGAACTTCTGGACTGAGTTTGCTGCACTGAAAGTAAAGGGGCCCAATAATATTGCACGCCCCACTTTTCAGTTTTTTATTTGTTAAAAAAGTTTAAATTATCCAATACATTTTGTTCCACTTCACAATTGTGTCCCACTTGTTGTTGATTCATGACAAAAAATTAAAATTTTATATCTTTATGTTTGAAGCCTGAAATGTGGCAAAATGTTGAAAGGTTCAAGGGGGCCGAATACTTTCGCAAGGCACTGTACATTCACGGTGTTGCCAGAGGTCAACTAGTGCCTCCATCTCTGATGTCCACCGAACTTTCTGGTGCGCCATGCCGGTGACTGTTTTTTTTTTTTTTTTTTTACGGTGTTTCCTCGCCGCCTCTTCTCGTCTTCTGATTGGCTACATGCCGCAGTCATGGCGACGCGCTTGTCTGTCCCCGGGGGACACCACACACGAAGAGAAATCGGGCCAATTATCCTGCCGTGTGAACCAGGCTTTACACACTCTCACTCTGTAACATTCTCACTCTTTCACACTCTCACTGTTTTTGTGCTTATATTCTTTTTTTACAGTGTGTTTCTCCAATAACACCAACACCATGAGACACTAGTATCACATTATCTTTACTTAAAGTCAGAAGAAAACTGGCTGCATAGTTCAGAGGTTGGTCTCTCTCTCTCTCTCTTTCTGTCTCTCTCTCTTTCTCTTTCTGTCTCTATGTAACTGTCAGACTGTACGTAGAGGGCACGGGGGTTTTACTCTTGGATAAACCAGGACTAACCACAGTCTATAGTTTAGCATTAACTAAAAGGCAAAACTGACTTATTTTATGCCCAGAATCTGCAGATAACTTTGTGAACACGTAGCGTCTGTCATTTCCAATCGTGCGTCTTTGCGTTCGCTAACCGGCTAAACACGCGCTCTCTAACCAGCTGCGTAATCGTTCACAGAAACCCACAGACACGGCCACAGTCTCTGAGATCCACATCCTCAGTCTCAGTGAGAACCTCATTGAAAACCTCTGCTGGGACTCTGTGTGTTTATGCTAATGAAGCTAATCCCTCCATCGCTTTATGCTAACCATTTACCCACAACACCTCGCTGTTATCGCAGCTATCATCTCTCGGCGGAAGTGTTGACTTAGCAAAAAATACCCAAAAGTAGAGGAATGGAACCGTGTGTGTTGGCAAAACCTCAGATTGCCGTGGGGGAGCTGGAGGGGGGAGGAGGTGGGAGGGGGAGGGAGGGGGAGGGAAGGGGAGGGAGGAACCTGCAGGAAGTTAGCTTGTAGCGGTGTGGTTTCGCTCGCACACAGAGAGAGGAGACTTGTCAAAGCACTGTGCAAGTAGACCCAGGACTGAGGCTGTAGACCCAGGACTGAGGCTGTAGACCCAGGACTGAGGCTGTAGACCCAGGACTGAGGCTGTAGACCCAGGACTGAGGCTGTAGACCCAGGACTGAGGCTGTAGACCCAGGACTGAGGCTGTAGACCCAGGACTGAGGCTGTAGACCCAGGACTGAGGCTGTAGACCCAGGACTGAGGCTGTAGATCCAGGACTGAGGCTGTAGACCCAGGACTGAGGCTGTAGACCCAGGACTGAGGCTGTAGACCCAGGACTGAGACTGTAGACCCAGGACTGAGGCTGTAGACCCAGGACTGAGGCTGTAGACCCAGGACTGAGGCTGTAGACCCAGGACTGAGGCTGTAGACCCAGGACTGAGGCTGTAGACCCAGGACTGAGGCTGTAGACCCAGGACTGAGGCTGTAGACCCAGGACTGAGGCTGTAGAACGAGAATTATCAAAACTGTGATTCTAACATATCACGATACAGACCCGCCCTCCCTCTCCCTCTCTACCTCCCTCTCCCTCTCTACCTCCCTCTCCCTCTCTACCTCCCTCTCTCTCTCCCCCTCTCCCTCTCTCCCCCTCTCCCTCTTTCCTCTCTCCCCCTCTATCTCTCTCCCCCTCTCCCCTCCCTGGTCCTTGCCCCAGTCCCTGTGCTCTGAAGCAGTCATTGTCCTGGGGTAAAACTGAGTCTTTGAGCGCTCCTGTGTCTGTGGTGAGAGGAGGAAGAGGAGGAAGAGGAGAGAGAGGAGGAAGAGGAGGAGGAGGAGGAGAGAGGAGGAGGAAGAGGAGGAGGAGAGAGAGGAGGAAGAGGAGGAGGAGGAGGAGAGATGAGGAGGAGGAAGAGAGAGAGGAGGAAGAGGAGGAGGAGGAGGAGAGAGAGGAGGAAGAGGAGGAGGAGGAGAGAGAGGCGGAGGAGAGAGAGGAGGAGGAGGAGAGAGAGGAGGAGGAGAGGAGGAGAGAGAGGAGGAAGAGGAGGAGGAGAGAGGAGGAAGAGGAGGAGGAGGAGAGAGAGGAGGAGGAGGAGAGAGAGGAGGAGGAGGAGAGAGAGGAGGAGGAGGAGAGAGAGGAGGAGGAGAGAGAGGAGGAAGAGGAGGAGGAGGAGGAGAGAGAGGAGGAAGAGGAGGAGGAGGAGAGAGAGGAGGAAGAGGAGGAGGAGAGAGAGGAGGAAGAGGAGGAGGAGGAGGAGAGATGAGGAGGAGGAAGAGAGAGAGGAGGAAGAGGAGGAGGAGGAGAGAGAGAGAGGAAGAGGAGGAGGAGGAGAGAGAGGAGGAAGAGGAGGAGGAGGAGAGAGAGGAGGAGGAGAGAGAGGAGGAGGAGGAGAGAGAGGAGGAAGAGGAGGAGGAGGAGGAGAGAGAGGAGGAAGAGAGAGGAGGAGAGAGAGAGAGGAGGAGGAGGAGGAGAGAGAGAGGAGGTGAGCGGAGGAGAAAGAGAGGAGGAGAGAGAGATAGAGAGAGAGGAGGAGGAGAGAGAGGAGGAAGAGGAGGAGGAGGAGGAGAGAGAGGAGGAAGAGGAGGAGGAGGAGAGAGAGGAGGAAGAGGAGGAGGAAGAGGAGGAGGAAGAGGAGGAGGAGGAGAGAGAGGAGGAAGAGGAGGCGAGAGAGGAGGCGAGAGAGGAGGAAGAGGAAGAGGAGGAAGAGCAGGATTAGAGTGTTCAAAGGGACTGGAGGTTTCTCAGCCTCAGCGACTCTGTGGAATGTGAAGAATGAGGCTCAAACATAAATGTTCCACACTCTCCCAGGACTCATTTAGAAACTTCAGCATCAATCCACTTTTATCTTTTTCATTTAGTTTTTATACTTTTCTCAGTCATTTCAGATTCAGACAACTTTAAGTATCGCACCAGGAGCAACATTAGACATAAACAACACATCCAGAAAGTGACGGTTTGTGACAAAAAACTGAAAGGAGTTTTTTTGCTTCTGGTTTAGTTTTTATCATCAGGAGAAGAGTCAGAGTGAACCAGAGTGAACCAGAGTGAACCAGAGTGAACCAGAGTGAACCAGAGTGAACCAGAGTGAACCAGAGTGAACCAGAGTGAACCAGAGAGAGTCAGAGTGAACCAGAGTGAACCAGAGTGAACCAGAGAGAGTCAGAGTGAACCAGAGTGAACCAGAGTGAACCAGAGTGAACCAGAGTGAACCAGAGAGAGTCAGAGTGAACCAGAGTGAACCAGAGTGAACCAGAGTGAACCAGAGAGAGTCAGAGTGAACCAGAGTGAACCAGAGTGAACCAGAGTGAACCAGAGAGAGTCAGAGTGAACCAGAGTGAACCAGAGTGAACCAGAGTGAACCAGAGAGAGTCAGAGTGAACCAGAGTGAACCAGAGTGAACCAGAGTGAACCAGAGTGAACCAGAGTGAACCAGAGTGAACCAGAGTGAACCAGAGAGAGTCAGGAACAAACCTATTATTATCCAAAAGTCACACATATTGTTCCATGATGTTTTTATGTCTAATTGTTTTTAGATTGTGCAGAAACTAATTCATCAGTTTTTTATTTACTTTTTTTCATTATTCTACTACTGTAGCCACAGCTGCCCTGGGGCACACTGACAGAAGCGACCAGACTCATGTGCCCCACCTGGTGAGGTCTCCCATCACAGTACTGACCAGGCCCTGTCCTGCTTAAAAAGTGTAACCTTTAACTCAAGCTCAGTGAACCTGAACAAACTCCTGATTAACACAAACTAATCCACTACATCAGGGGTCACCAACACGGTGCCCGCGGGCACCAGGTGGCCCGTAAGGACCAGATGAGTCGCCCGTACGGACCAGATGAGTTGCCCGTAAGGACCACATGAGTCGCCCGTAAGGACCAGATGAGTCGCCCGTCCGTCCAGATGAGTCGCCCGTACGGACCAGATGAGTCGCCCGTAAGGACCAGATGAGTCGCCCGTAAGGACCAGATGAGTCGCCCGTAAGGACCAGATGAGTCGCCCGTAAGGACCAGATGAGTCGCCCGTAAGGACCAGATGAGTCGCCCGTAAGGACCAGATGAGTCGCCCGTAAGGACCAGATGAGTCGCCCGTAAGGACCACATGAGTCGCCCGTAAGGACCAGATGAGTCGCCCGTAAGGACCAGATGAGTCGCCCGTACGGACCAGATGAGTCGCCCGTAAGGACCAGATGAGTCGCCCGTAAGGACCAGATGAGTCGCCCGTACGGACCAGATGAGTCGCCCGTAAGGACCACATGAGTCGCCCGTAAGGACCAGATGAGTCGCCCGTACGGACCAGATGAGTCGCCCGTAAGGACCAGATGAGTCGCCCGTACGGACCAGATGAGTCGCCCGTAAGGACCACATGAGTCGCCCGTAAGGACCAGATGAGTCGCCCGTCCGTCCAGATGAGTCGCCCGTACGGACCAGATGAGTCGCCCGTAAGGACCAGATGAGTCGCCCGTAAGGACCAGATGAGTCGCCCGTACGGACCAGATGAGTCGCCCGTAAGGACCAGATGAGTCGCCCGTAAGGACCAGATGAGTCGCCCGTAAGGACCAGATGAGTCGCCCGTAAGGACCAGATGAGGCGCCCGTAAGGACCAGATGAGTCGCCCGTAAGGACCACATGAGTCGCCCGTAAGGACCAGATGAGTCGCCCGTAAGGACCAGATGAGTCGCCCGTAAGGACCAGATGAGTCGCCCGTAAGGACCAGATGAGTCGCCCGTAAGGACCAGATGAGTCGCCCGTAAGGACCAGATGAGTCGCCCGTAAGGACCAGATGAGTCGCCCGTAAGGACCAGATGAGTCGCCCGTAAGGACCAGATGAGTCGCCCGTGAGGACCAGATGAGTCGCCCGTAAGGACCAGATGAGTCGCCCGTAAGGACCACATGAGTCGCCCGTAAGGACCAGATGAGTCGCCCGTACGGACCAGATGAGTCGCCCATAAGGACCAGATGAGTCGCCAGAGCCCCTCTCTGAGACCTTGGGTGTTCCTTTTTCCGGATGTTACCATCTAAGAATATTGACCCAAAGTGGTTTCTTTGTATTCCTTTTTAAACGTTTTCATGTCTGGACACTCAGGGCGTTCCAGAGCCTCACCCCAGCTCCTCCCCCCAGCTCCTCACCCCAGCTCCTCCCCCCAGCTCCTCACCCCAGCTCCTCACCCCAGCTCCTCACCCCAGCTCCTCACCCCAGCTCCTCACCCCAGCTCCTCCCCCCAGCTCCTCACCCCAGCTCCTCTCCCCAGCTCCTCCCCCCAGCTCCTCTCTCGTGGCGTTCCAGCTCCTCCCCCAGCTCCTCCCCTCAGCTCCTCTCTCGTGGCGTTCCAGAGCCTCCCCCCAGCTCCTCCCCCCAGCTCCTCTCTCGTGGCGTTCCAGAGCCTCCCCCCAGCTCCTCCCCCCAGCTCCTCTCTCGTGGCGTTCCAGAGCCTCCCCCCAGCTCCTCTCTCGTGGGGTTCCAGCTCCTCTCTCGTGGGGTTCCAGCTCCTCTCTCGTGGCGTTCCAGCTCCTCCTACCAGCTCCTCTCTCGTGGCGTTCCAGCTCCTCCCCCCAGCTCCTCACCCCAGCTCCTCACCCCAGCTCCTCCCCCCAGCTCCTCTCTCGTGGCGTTCCAGAGCCTCCCCCCAGCTCCTCCCCCCAGCTCCTCTCTCGTGGCGTTCCAGCTCCTCCTACCAGCTCCTCTCTCGTGGCGTTCCAGCTCCTCCCCCCAGCTCCTCACCCCAGCTCCTCACCCCAGCTCCTCCCCCCAGCTCCTCTCTCGTGGCGTTCCAGAGCCTCCCCCCAGCTCCTCCCCCCAGCTCCTCTCTCGTGGCGTTCCAGCTCCTCCCCCCAGCTCCTCCCCCCAGCTCCTCTCTCGTGGCGTTCCAGCTCCTCACCCCAGCTCCTCTCTCGTGGCGTTCCAGAGCCTCCCCCCAGCTCCTCACCCCAGCTCCTCCCCCCAGCTCCTCTCTCGTGGCGTTCCAGAGCCTCCCCCCACAGACAGACACACAAACACTCTTTCTAGTCGTCAGTGCTCTCGCAGGCCTGAACTTGAATTTACCTTTTAAGTCATAGACACCATCTCTGGATACAAACCTTTTTGTAATTTGATTTGGTAATTTGTTATAATTTGCTTTGTACATTATTAAAAGTGTTAGATAATCAACTAGATCATGGAATTGTAGTATCCCTGAACCCACTCTGTGAATGATCCTGACAGCTCTGTTCTGTGGACAGATTAATGGGAATATGGCGGTTGTGTAATTGTTTCCCAACAGCTCAAATACAGTAACACTAATGTACAATAGAATAGATAAAGATCTTCCAGTTTCTGTCTCGCTTTGGCCAAAACTCCAACACTTCTGGCTAGTTTGGCGTACACGTATTTAATATCACCTCTTTAGTTTCACTAACCCTCAGTATCTGTGCCAACACTTATATCAGACTTCATCTTTCTATTTCCAAACAACAGTAGTTTAGATTTAATTACATTTAGAGATAATTTGTTACTGCTGAACCAAGACTGTAATATCCTCATTTCCCCTGCTATAATGTCCAGTAATGTCTTCACATTTACATCAGATAAAAACATATCGGTGTCATCTGCAAATAATACAAGCTTGAGACGTTTTGACACATTACAAATATCATTGAACAATATGAAACATGTAGGTCCCAGCACTGACCCCTGTGGGACCCCGCATTCATCTTCACAAACTGTTGCCTGTCTGTTAGATAGCTCTCTTAGATAGCTCTCTGTTTGATAGCTCTCTGTTAGATAGCTGTCTCTTAGATAGCTCTCTGTTTGATAGCTCTCTCTTAGATAGCTCTCTGTTAGATAGCTGTCTCTTAGATAGCTCTCTGTTTGATAGCTCTCTCTTAGATAGCTCTCTGTTAGATAGCTCTCTTTTAGATTGCTCTGTTAGATAGCTCTCTGTTCCATCCTCTGCAAATGTTCCTAAAATGTGCCGTATCTACTTCTGGGTTTTTCACCATCGCCTTTTCTCGCATTACATCAGTGTTTTTGTCATGAAAACGTAAACGGAAAATTCTGGAAACTTCCGTGCACTTGTATTAATAATGTATTTGTATAATGTATTCTCAGATTAACATTTAAGTGTGTTGATTGAGCGTGGCTAGCTCCGGAGTGGCCGGAACTACTTGCGGCGTTATCCACGCATTTGAAAGACAAGCAGAGAGTGCGTTGCCAAAGGGCAGCGGTCATTATTGTTTTGAGAGGTCGGTTATAGACAATAATGACCGTAGAACGTTTTGAAATGACGTTCACATGAATGGTTCTCCTGCTGCTGTGAGGAGCTGTGATAAACAGTTATAATTATGTGCCTGTGATCATGATAAACTTGGATTGTTAAACATTCCAAAATATCCTCTATAACTGTTTAAACTTCAGCCAATTATGTACAAATAATCCCACACTCCTCCTCCTCGGGTTAATCTGTTCACATTATGTACAAATAATCCCACACTCCTCCTCCTCGGGTTTATCTGTTTACATTATGTACGAATAATCCCACACTCCTCCTCCTCGGGTTAATCTGTTTATGTATGAATAATCCCACACTCCTCCTCCTCGGGTTAATCTGTTTACATTATGTACAAATAATCCCACACTCCTCCTCCTCGGGTTAATCTGTTTACATTATGTACGAATAATCCCACACTCCTCCTCCTCGGGTTAATCTGTTTATGTACGAATAATCCCACACTCCTCCTCCTCGGGTTATTTTGTTTATGTACGAATAATCCCACACTCCTCCTCCGCGGGTTAATCTGTTTACATTATGTACGAATAATCCCTCACTCCTCCTCCTCGGGTTAATCTGTTTACATTATGTACGAATAATCCCTCACTCCTCCTCCTTGGGTTAATCTGTTTATGTACGAATAATCCCACACTCCTCCTCCTCGGGTTAATCTGTTTATGTACGAATAATCCCACACTCCTCCTCCTCGGGTTAATCTGTTTATGTACGAATAATCCCACACTCCTCCTCCTCGGGTTAATCTGTTTACATTATGTACGAATAATCCCACACTCCTCCTCCTCGGGTTAATCTGTTTACATTATGTACGAATAATCCCACACTCCTCCTCCTCGGGTTAATCTGTTTACATTATGTACAAATAATCCCACACTCCTCCTCGGGTTAATCTGTTTACATTATGTACGAATAATCCCACACTCCTCCTCCTCGGGAGTTTACATTATGTACAAATAATCCCACACTCCTCCTCCTCGGGTTAATCTGTTTATGTACGAATAATCCCACACTCCTCCTCCTCGGGTTAATCTGTTTATGTACGAATAATCCCACACTCCTCCTCCTCGGGTTAATCTGTTTACATTATGTACGAATAATCCCACACTCCTCCTCCTCGGGTTTATCTGTTTACATTATGTACAAATAATCCCTCACTCCTCCTCCTCGGGTTAATCTGTTTACATTATGTACGAATAATCCCACACTCCTCCTCCTCGGGTTAATCTGTTTATGTACGAATAATCCCACACTCCTCCTCCTCGGGTTAATCTGTTTACATTATGTACGAATAATCCCACACTCCTCCTCCTCGGGTTAATCTGTTTACATTATGTACGAATAATCCCACACTCCTCCTCCTCGGGTTAATCTGTTTACATTATGTACGAATAATCCCACACTCCTCCTCCTCGGGTTAATCTGTTTATGTACGAATAATCCCACACTCCTCCTCCTCGGGTTAATCTGTTTACATTATGTACGAATAATCCCACACTCCTCCTCCTCGGGTTTATCTGTTTACATTATGTACGAATAATCCCACACTCCTCCTCCTCGGGTTAATCTGTTTATGTATGAATAATCCCACACTCCTCCTCCTCGGGTTAATCTGTTTACATTATGTACAAATAATCCCACACTCCTCCTCCTCGGGTTAATCTGTTCACATTATGTACAAATAATCCCACACTCCTCCTCCTCGGGTTTATCTGTTACATCTCTATAACTGTTTAAACTTCAGCCAATTATGTACAAATAATCCCACACTCCTCCTCCTCGGGTTAATCTGTTCACATTATGTACAAATAATCCCACACTCCTCCTCCTCGGGTTTATCTGTTTACATTATGTACGAATAATCCCACACTCCTCCTCCTCGGGTTAATCTGTTTATGTATGAATAATCCCACACTCCTCCTCCTCGGGTTAATCTGTTTACATTATGTACAAATAATCCCACACTCCTCCTCCTCGGGTTAATCTGTTTTACATTATGTACGAATAATCCCACACTCCTCCTCCTCGGGTTAATCTGTTTATGTACGAATAATCCCACACTCCTCCTCCTCGGGTTATTTTGTTTATGTACGAATAATCCCACACTCCTCCTCCGCGGGTTAATCTGTTTACATTATGTACGAATAATCCCTCACTCCTCCTCCTCGGGTTAATCTGTTTACATTATGTACGAATAATCCCTCACTCCTCCTCCTTGGGTTAATCTGTTTATGTACGAATAATCCCACACTCCTCCTCCTCGGGTTAATCTGTTTATGTACGAATAATCCCACACTCCTCCTCCTCGGGTTAATCTGTTTATGTACGAATAATCCCACACTCCTCCTCCTCGGGTTAATCTGTTTACATTATGTACGAATAATCCCACACTCCTCCTCCTCGGGTTAATCTGTTTACATTATGTACGAATAATCCCACACTCCTCCTCCTCGGGTTAATCTGTTTACATTATGTACAAATAATCCCACACTCCTCCTCGGGTTAATCTGTTTACATTATGTACGAATAATCCCACACTCCTCCTCCTCGGGTTAATCTGTTTACATTATGTACGAATAATCCCACACTCCTCCTCCTCGGGAGTTTACATTATGTACAAATAATCCCACACTCCTCCTCCTCGGGTTAATCTGTTTATGTACGAATAATCCCACACTCCTCCTCCTCGGGTTAATCTGTTTATGTACGAATAATCCCACACTCCTCCTCCTCGGGTTAATCTGTTTACATTATGTATGAATAATCCCACACTCCTCCTCCTCGGGTTTATCTGTTTACATTATGTACGAATAATCCCACACTCCTCCTCCTCGGGTTAATCTGTTTATGTACGAATAATCCCACACTCCTCCTCCTCGGGTTAATCTGTTTACATTATGTACGAATAATCCCACACTCCTCCTCCTCGGGTTTATCTGTTTACATTATGTACAAATAATCCCTCACTCCTCCTCCTCGGGTTAATCTGTTTACATTATGTACGAATAATCCCACACTCCTCCTCCTCGGGTTAATCTGTTTACATTATGTACGAATAATCCCACACTCCTCCTCCTCGGGTTAATCTGTTTACATTATGTACGAATAATCCCACACTCCTCCTCCTCGGGTTAATCTGTTTACATTATGTACGAATAATCCCACACTCCTCCTCCTCGGGTTTATCTGTTTACATTATGTACAAATAATCCCTCACTCCTCCTCCTCGGGTTAATCTGTTTACATTATGTACGAATAATCCCACACTCCTCCTCCTCGGGTTAATCTGTTTACATTATGTACGAATAATCCCACACTCCTCCTCCTCGGGTTAATCTGTTTACATTATGTACGAATAATCCCACACTCCTCCTCCTCGGGTTAATCTGTTTACATTATGTACGAATAATCCCACACTTCTCCTCCTCGGGTTAATCTGTTTATGTACGAATAATCCCACACTCCTCCTCCTCGGGTTAATCTGTTTACATTATGTACGAATAATCCCACACTCCTCCTCCTCGGGTTTATCTGTTTACATTATGTACAAATAATCCCTCACTCCTCCTCCTCGGGTTAATCTGTTTACATTATGTACGAATAATCCCACACTCCTCCTCCTCGGGTTAATCTGTTTACATTATGTACGAATAATCCCACACTCCTCCTCCTCGGGTTAATCTGTTTACATTATATAC